TTTTTTAATGTTGTTGTTTCTTTTAAGAGCTTGAACCAAGCAGTCGTGGGCGCCCGTCATCGAGACAGCTAAGGGATGCGGTATCTGGCGAAGAGGATGGGCGCGCTTCAGTGAACAAAACGAACCAACAACTAGCCATGTCCTTTTTCATTTTAATAAGGTTTTTATATAATTTATAATAGGCCATTCTCATAACAGTGTTGTTCTAATAACGAAACATAGTGTCCACTTTTTTGGCAAGGTTGCGAAAGTCGTAGTTCTTTGCTGGAAGGTAATGCCAGGGTCTAGTACAGTTTTTTTATTCAAGGCTTGTTGTGAATCTCCTCCCAATGCTTCTGGATCACAGAGAACTTTCGAAAGCATCGTTTACTCAGCTAACGAAAATGCTGGAGCTGAATGATCTAGAAGTAGCTGCAGTCAGGGTCTGTCATGCATCATTTTCGAGGGTGATATTCCTTGCTTTGCTTATTATAACTTAACCTTTTTAGAAAATGGCTGAAAAGCGTCTGAAAGAAATTTGGCGTTGGATGGGAATCGTTCTAGATCGTACGGAAGCACAGCTGAATTTTGGAAATGCTTTAATGTCATCGCCAGCTGGAACTGTTATTGCGAAAAATGAAAGGAAATCTGGTAAAAAAACAGATGATGATAAATCAAGGTTAGAACTTGGTTTTTTTCTTGTTTTTCGACCTCAGCTTAAGTTTTTTCTTTAGACGAAATAATTTTTGACACTTATGTTTTTCATGTAAAGCAGCACATTTTGTTTAAAACTTAAATGGTCTGTAAAGTTTGCTTCGAGACTGCGAGACCAGAAAAGTATGTTCAGAGAGTTAGGATTGTTCAAAAAAAGAAAAGAGAACTAAATTTTTATCAAGTGTAGCTTTGTTCAAGAATTTAGATTTTGAAGACAGATAGGTTCAGAGCTTTATATTTTATCCAACAGTAAGATTCCTGTTTTTAGCTAAAAAAGGTAATTTACGAAATTTTGATTTATTTTTTGAGTTCTGTATGTATAAGGGAAACTAAAACAATCTTTTTTTATTTGGAGATTTTCATTTTCACACTAAAAAACTCACTGTTACATCGCATATGGGTAGTTCAAAAATCAAAAATCAAGTTTCTACTTTAAACTTCTAAAGCACGATATAATTTTTAAGCATTATGCGCCTTCACTTGTTTCTCTGCTAAAAAATACATTTATTTGTAAAAACACCATGATAACTACTTAGCATTTTACGTTCTATAAATTTTCTGCAGTAGATAAGCACTTGAAAAGGTGTGTAAATTGGCTTCTTAATATATTTGCCTATCTTTTTTATAATAGGTCTTGAAAAGTATTTTTGTAACAGAGAATTGAATGTTCTTCGTTTGCCAAAGGAAGTGTACCGTGGAAGGGTTTGAAAATTTTAAGTTTCAAAGGGAATTACTGACTTTAACTTAGTTGCTTTTAATGGAGAGTAATTTTTATGACTTTTTTGCAATTTTGAATCTGATATAAATAACACTTTTCTAGGTGGATTTTTGAGTTTTTGGGAACCACTTTGCAAAAAGATCGGAGGTGGTAACTTAAAAGTTTTGTTTTTTGACGGTGTGATATTGTCCACCAAGGTACATTTCTGACTGTTCAAGACCGCTACCAGAAAGTATATTTTCTGAGTGGGTTATGCAGCTGGTCTCAGAATTAATTTGCTTTTTCATCATCAAACTGTTTTAATTTTATTTTTTTTTCTATTTTTTTTAGTTTTTATTATCTGTTAAATCCACTTCATACCTAAATATGAATCTAAGTAAAAAATTTACGGTAACTTCTTTTGTTGCTTTAAACGATTAGTCGCGTGGTAATGAGCGCGACGACAAGATTATATTTTTTTGGCAAATTAGATTGCTGCGTAGAAGCGAAACGTTTAGATAAAAAAAAATAATTTAAAATTTAAATTTTCAATTGAAATTGAGTAGCGGCCCTTTTATTGTTTTTTCTAGGAAGAAAGAAGCGAATTCTGTTTCGTCCAGAGGCTACGACAATATTGCTATTTCTAATTACCGGAACGAAGTTGCTGCTTCTTCAGGGAATAATAAAGATGTTTCTGAAAAAAAAGGTTTTTATTGAAAAATAAATTCATTTGAACTAAATTACGCTCGATTTTTTAAAATATTCATTTCCGGGTACTTTCCATTTGCGACTTTTTAAGTGAGTTTTTTGTTATAAACTTAGCTGTAGGAGATGATTCCACGGCTACATCTTCATCACGTAATGAATTAATTGGCTACATGCTGTCAATTCTGCGGTCGCACACTGGAGAAAATGGCGATGATTTGCCCATAATCGAATTTAATGCTCTTAAAGCTTTGGCATTTGTTGCGGATGCTTTTTTGATGTTTATTGATATGCTAGAAAAGTTCGATGCTAAAATGGTAGAGGGGAAGCCTGGTATCGAAAAGAATACCGCAGATGCTGCCGACATTGACATGTTTCAAAAAATGGTTGGTTTAGTTAGTTTATTTCTGCTTTGTTTTTTTTTGTCCCGATTTTTTTCTTTTTTTTCCTGACAAAAAAATCTTTCTTTTGTAACTGGGCATTTTGAAAGAAGAATAGAAAAGTAGAATAATAGCGGTTGTTATTTTCAGGATAATGATGTGAACACTGCTATTTTGCGTCAATTCTTCAAGGTAGATATAAATTATTATAAAATATAGTATAAGTAATTTTCCTGTTTATTGTATAAGTCCTACTTCCTGAATTCCGCACGTTACTGAGTCTTTTTTTAGCGCTCGAATTCTCTTTTGTATCCGGGAATAACTATGGCTCCAAGTCACCACCCATTCGAACATAGGTGTTGCGATTCTTTAGCCTTGGCTGAAAGACCTCATATTCTGAACCCGGAAGTAGAGAAAGAGCAATTGTTTGGTCTACCAGTGCAACAAAAAACAACAAAAGAGCATAATGTGAGCCGGTTTCAACTTCTTTTTGCTTCGTTTTCACTTTACGTAGGAAGGAGATGATAAAATTTTGTATAATCAGTATTTCAAATGCAGTTAAGAACACTTTTAAAGGCAGCTGTTCCAAACACGAATTTTAGAGAAGCGCTAAGGATCACGGTGTGAAGTTTTTGGCACATCAGAGTTTAGCAGCTCCCTGGTCTAGTTTCAAAGAGTTATTGCAACCATCAACTAGCAAGTCTGAGAAGCAAGGTCTATATGTTTTTTTTTGATAATTAGTAACTCAAACTAGGTTTTTATTTTTAAACTTTATTTTAAATTGGCTATTGCTGGATTGAAAAACAAAATAATATATTGTGTAAACGACTGTATTTGTATCTTTTAGAAGCTATGGATGTTTCATCGGGGGCTGTTAGGCCCAACGTTATAGTGCATTCTAACTCAGTCAGCGCCACCTCTGAATCTACTGGTTAATTTTTAATTTGGCTGAACCTTTTATGCTTCACGTCGCTTGCATGAATATAAAATTAATCTGCAGCATTCTTTTCAAACCGTACACCACTTCATAGACAAAGCTTCTTAGTTTTCGGAACACTCAGTATAACTCCTTTATTTACAAAACGTTATGGAAGTCTTGTTAAACAAAAAAGGAATGTCTTCACGTCTCAGATGAGATTTAAACTTTTGCGGCAGCACAAATATACTCACTTTAGAATCACTATTATTGTAGAACAGTTTGGTTTTTGTTAAGATCTTTCAAACTTATGTAGTGCGAGCTGTTACTTGTGTAGTTTTGAATAATATCTGTAATGTCGTCCTGCTTCTTTCGGTGGAGTTTGCAGATCCTTACACACATTTTTACTAGTCATCGTAAATTAGAGTTTCTTCGTAGCTCCAGGTAACTCATGTAGGTTTTTCACATAAATACCAAAATATATTTTCTCAAGCTTTTAGTAAATTTGAATTTATACTTTGCGCCGGTTCTTTTATGATCTTTCTTTCCTTATTTTTATTGTTTATGACCTTGGATATATTTTAATTCACTGTCTCCTGGGTGTAACATCTTTATGGGTGAACTTTCTTCCAAGGTTGAAACTAGTCAAGTTTTATACTCAACCCACTTTCATTGAGGTCTATGTTTCGTTGGGCAATTAAAGAAGGCTTTTTAAGACGCCATTTTCGTTACATTTCAAAATAGTCTCATTTTTAAAAGATTTTTAAAATTTACTGTAAAATACAACTCCAGAATGATGAGTAGGCTTTTTTTAGAATAGCAATTGGGATTAGCATTTAGGTTTGTTTGGAAGAAATTGTATTCCGTCCCCTTGAATTAAAGTTCTTTTACAGCAACTTCTCCAAATGAGTTGCCTCTCATACCAAGTTACGAAACAGTGTCAATTTTTTTACAGATTTTTTGAAGAACTGCTTTCTTGTATTCAACTTTTAAAATTATTTGGCTGTTATAGTTTTTTATTGGAATTGTGCACTTTTTGCTTCTTTAAATTTATTCTCTTCAGCTTCGCAGAAATATTCTTGGTAGAAGTAGTAAAAAGAAGTATTACTAACGGGTGTTTACCACGTAAACTGCTGAGAAGTGTTGATGTAACTTTTCTTTTCTTTCCTAATTTTAGTTTGGTAATAGAAAGCTTACTCAAACGTGCGCACACTTAGTGCTTTATTGTGGAGGCTAATGTCGTAGTTACCTTATTTTTGAGAAATTAGAAGAGAATGTCATAAATAAACGAGTTAGGAGGAATGAAAAGGATGCCTTTCGCTAGCCGCGCACTGTAGTCGCCTTAGTAATTTTTTAGCTGCATTAAAAATTATATTCTTGTTCAGGAAGTCAGCGAAGAAGAGTTTTGTCTTCTGTAACCACACCTCCTCCACGAGGTTTCGCTCCGATGAAACTCGATAATATCTTAAGCGCTTTACATCAAAACCATCGCAGCTGTCTTCAGATTTCATTGACGAGGTGGAAACATAC